TATTACAAAAGGTTAACAAAGTTTGAATAGGGTAACGTACTTGAGTAAAAACTTAACGGCGCTGCTGTACTCACACAAAACTTGCCGAAAGGTTTGAGGTCATGCGAGGAAACCAGTCTAGGTCAGCCACAATTGCAGATCAAATAAGAATTAAGATCGAAAGACAGATAGGAAGATGGAGAAATGCTTGAAACAGCAGGAACATGCAAGCAAGGAAACGCGAGCAGCGTGCGACTCTCCCTCGGAGAGTTCATTGCAGCAGGCGACGAGGCTCAGCCGCAGGACGCTCCCGGAGCCAGCCCGCAGCCGCCCGCCCGAGCGCCCGAGCGCCCCACGTCTGAGCGCCCCGGCTCTGCCCGCTCCGTGCGACGCCGCTCTGCGCACACCCGCAAGCCTCCGCGAGCGCTCCCCTCCCGCCACCTGCGTTACAAGGGGGAAAACAGACCTGATCATCCGCCCGCCCCCGGTCTCGGCCGAGGCAGCGGGGGACGGCGACCGCGGACCCCACCAGCGCGCAGCCCGGCCGGCCCCCGTTGGGTCACCGGCAGCCGCCCGGGAGAGAAGCGGCCGCAAGGCCTCAGGCAGACCCGGGCAAGGAGAGGGGAAGGGGACCCGATCAGCGGGAGAGACCCGCAGCCAGCCTCCAGCTGCCACTCGCGCGCCGGGGCGACGCGCGCCGACCGTTTGTGTTTGCGGCGGCGGGTTCCAGCCCGCCAGGCGCCGCGACCGAGATTCCGCGCCGCAGATTCCACGCGCCGTTCGTCCAGACCCTGGGCCACCAGACTCCATTGAGAGCCACGGCCAGTGCGATATTAAGTTGCAGATGAGAAGTCAGTATAATTTTGAGGGTCAGACTGGCCCAGACCTCTAAACGAAAACCAAAAATCCTATGGCGAATCTGCGAGGGCGGGAATGAAAATGCTTCTTCTTTAAGGGCCAGAACGCAAACGTCACTTCCGGCAACAATAGGAAATGTCAACCCGGGCCGTCGGCAGCGCCGACTGCAGCAACTTGAGGTGCTCTGTACTCCCAGGGCTCTAGCGGGGTTTCTGGGCACATCGACAGCGTCGTCTTCGCCGGCGTGGACGCGTGAAGTCTGAACAGGCTTCTCCATGGCCTGGGCACCTGTTCCCGGCTAAGTCACCTTCTTTTTGGCTAAAAGCCCCCGCCCAGAGGCCGATTCGTCGCGGCGGCGGTGGAGATCGCAGGTCGCTCAGGTACAAGCGTCAGCCTAAATACTGCAGATCTTCTCTGTTTGTTGCCTGTGCGCCCTCACTTTCCTTCTCGGAAATAGACGGCCGGTGGCTACCAGTTGGCAGAAACTGGCCGACCAGCAAGAGTTCAGAACCAATGACAGTGTAAAGCATCTTGAGTGACAGCAGCGAAGGCTTATCAAAATGAAGAATCAATGTGAGGAGGCAGGAAAAGGGGTTTCTAGACGATTGGGAAACGGGTCGACTTGGGATCCAACCGGGTTTCTTTGTGAAGTAAAAGCCAAAAAAGCAGCAAGAGTTACTTTCCTTAGGCCCAAGTGTTGCTTTGTGCCTATCACTTGGGTGTTTAACCACAGTTGTTGGTTCTTTACATACTTTCCAGTGATAGGAATGCAAAATACTTGTGGTTAAGGTCGCATTCGATTGTCATTTGCTACAATTGCTAATTGTCAATTTATAATCCACAGCCAATGTGGATTATAAATTAAACCCATAATTTGCCTTATTTGTGACTCGCCTCTTACTGCTCAAATGATGGTGCTGAATAATATTATTGGACAAAATTAAAATTATATAAGTGATTTCAATTCTCAGTCGTTATTGTTTTACTTTTAAATTCTGAGTGTTTACTAATTGAGTATCTGGCTCTATTTATTTTATAAGTACTCTGTCTCTCCAAATCAGTGCATCTTGACTTTATGACTGCAAATGATGCAACAGTCCATTTTTCTTCCCAGCATTTCTTCTCCTTTCTCTTCCAGCTTTTCTACCTCACTGTAAATGATTGCAGTTTTAGCTGGGCGCAGTGCGACATATCTGTAATCCCAGCTTCTTGGGAGGCTGAGGCAAGAGTATTCTTGTCTGGGCTACGAAGTTAGCTCAAGGCCAGCCTAGATTTTTATAGCGAGACCTTGTCTCAAAAAGACATACGCACGCACAAAAAAAGTTTGCAGTTTGATAACTATTTTTCTAAGGTAGCGCTTCTCCCATCCCTCCTTGAGAATGGCTTAATAAGATGGAGCAATTTTTCATATGAAAAAAGCACATTTTTTATATTTCTCAGGTTGATTAAGAAACAATCATTTTAGTGGGCACGGTGAAACATGCCTGTAATCCCAGCACTTGGGAGACTGAGGCAGGAGAATCCCTGACTGATAATTAAGGAGTTAATAGCTCAGAATAATTGAGCAAATATATACTAATGTGATCAGATGGGAGGTGGGGGGGAGTACCAGATTATGAAGAAATAAACACATTTTCATGGAAAAAGCATTATTCTCTTAGAAAAAGTTTTTTTCCCCCTATAAATTATCTGAAGAGGTTTAATTCCTATTTTTCCTGGAAAACTGAGGAATGTTGTATGGGGGGGGGGTTGTGTTTTTAGGGTATACATGACCACCCCATTGTCACAGCTGGAGATTGTGTTTTACTCACTGTCTTTTGTACAGTCCAAATTGTGTGAAAGTGTAAGTGCAAGTTCAAGACCAGTCTGGGCCACAAAGTGAGCTCAAGGCCAACCTGAATTGCATAGTGAGACCCTGTCTCAAAAAGACCAAAAAAAAAGAAAGAAAAAAAAAAAAGAAAATTTCATTTTTATCCAGTTAACTGAGTTTGTCCAATGTGATACCTCATTAGTATCTACTGTCATGTAAGCAATTATGTCTAAATTTACCCAAGCTTAAAACATACATCTGTTGCATGAATTTCTGTGGGTCAGGAGCTTCGCTGGGTCTTTCATGAAGTGCAAAGTGTGTGTGTGTGTGTGGGAGAGAGAGAGAGAGAGAGAGAGAGAGAGAGAGAGAGAGAGAGATCATCTAAAGGTTCCGGGGAGGTGAAGCTCTGGGTATAATTACTGTCACAGGGAGGGCTGCTGGCAGGCCTAGGTTCCCAGCACGCGAGTTTCTTTTTAAGGTTACCTGGCAGTGTGGTAGATGATCATCCTGTCTAACAACCCAAGAGAACAGCCATAAGAAAAGTATGTTATTTTATAACTTAATCTCAAAAATGACACCCCATAGCACCTGCCATTGTTGTTAGGAATGAGTCATTGAGCCCAACCCAAAATGTGAGGAAAGGGAAGTGAACGGCACTGGAATACGAATTTCAGGAGGCAGGGGTTGCTGGAGGGCACTGCACAGGCTGCCAAATCCAGATCCCTGACTGATAATTAAGTAGTTAATAGCTCAGAATAACTGAGCAAATATATACTAATGTGATCAGACAGGAGGTGGGGGAGTACCAGATTATAAAGAAATAAAAACATTTTCATGGAAAAAGCATTTTTCTCTTAGAAAAAGGTTTTCTTTTCCCTATAAATTGTCTGAAGAGGTTTAATTCCTATTTTTCCTGGAAAACTGAGGAATGTTATAAGGGGGGTAGTTTGTGTTTTTAGGGTATACATGACCACCCCGTTGTCACAGCTGGAAATTGTGTGTTTTACTCACTGTCTTTTGTACAGTCCAAATTGTGTCAAAGTGTAAGCAAAGAGAGCTTTGCAGAAGACAGTAAGTTAGGAAGGGGCTTGAGATAAGTATGGCTAGGATATAATAGAGCTATAACTCCCTGCCTGATATATTCAGTCAGCTTCCCTGAAATCAAAGAATGAATTCCAAGGAATAGAGGAGGTTAAGAGTGGGAAGATTCATTGAGAGATAGGACACATTGGAGAGGATTGTGGGTGTGCCAAGGGAGGAGGCCAACATAACTGGGTGTGGAGGAATAGGAATGTGAAATAATAGCTCCTAATAGACAGGCTGGGTGCCCAGTGGGTTGCCACGGAGGTCATCTCTCCAGAGAAAGTTTTAAAGGGCAAAGTCATGAGGTGTGGACTATGGGCATCAAGCTGTAATCAATCAGTAAGATTACAAGTATAGCCAATTAGCTGGTATTGATGCAATAGTGAAACTTGGCATGTAGTAAGAGCACATGGATGACATCATTAACCTTCCTCAGTAATCCAGTATCTTAGTGGGTAGGAACAGATGACCACCCCTTGTGAGCCAGTGGTCTGTTTCTATGGGAAACTCCTGAAGGTTGCTACTAATTACAGTGAAATCTCCAAGTTTTTAAATCCGTTAAGGAACATATAAATCTTCTTATTGTGACTTTAACCTCCAGATCTTGCCTCCTTCGGATGTGCCTGTAGCCACAGTTTTGATGAGTTCTCCGCATCTGCACTGACCCCCAGACTCTTAATTTCTACTTAATTTATCTCCCTGTAATAAATGGAGTGTAAGTCATTGGCAACATCTGTGATCAAATAGGGCTGTGAGAGGTGTGTCTTAGAAGTATGTTTTGGATGTTTCTTTTACTGTTTTATTAAGTACCTGTGTTTCATCCTTTTTCTTTGTAAAATTAAACTGACAGCCCCTTTCTCTTGTTAAAGGAATTTTAAGAGTTGACAAACAGCTTTGAGAGTGTATTTTTTTTCTCTACCACTGCTAGAGGTTGAGCCTAGGGCTACATGCCTGGTAGGCAAGTGCTCTGCCACTGAGCTGGTGTACACCCAGCACCTAGATGTTCCCTTTAAATATTAGGTAGCAAGTACCAGCTTCTTTCTGCCTTGCATGGCTATGCATCATCAACCCAGCTTTTGTGAGTAAACCATATGCACTTATTGAAAAAGTGCAGGCTTCAGCGTTTGTGATAACTGTTTTGGGTGTGACCCAAATTGCCTATGCTTCTTGCAGGTTTGAAAATATAAATCCTTACCTATTAGTAAAATAATACGAAGCTTATCTCTTATGCTTCAGATATTTTCCACCATCTTAATTTGGCTATTCTCAAATCAAAAATTTGTCCTCTAAATTGGAACTCCCTCTTAAGTTAACGGATTTCATTTTAAATGGTTATAACCAATTAACTACTATAATTTTGGACATTCAGATGCCTGTAAAATTTTAAACACAAACTTGATAAAATTATATAGTAGAAATATTTTTATCTCCAAAATGTTTCCTAAAGTGATCAATGATGTAGAGTGTGCCTAAGGAGAGTCACCTAGAGAGAAAACATTCTCTCAGGCTTTCACAGAGAGCAAACTTGTCAAGAATGGCTGCAATTCATTCAGATGGCTGACACTGACAAAAGATCTACAGACTGCTGTACAGGGTGTCAGGGTAAATCCTGTGGGGATTTGACTGACCTTGTCAGATAAAAAAAAGTTACTTTTTT